CGATGGCTAGGCATGTGCAGCACGTGACCTAGCCATCTCAATCTATGTAACTTTATAGCCTCGTCGATTGATTTCCACTCCTTGCCCAACACTCTACGCCTAACGTCAACATTACTTACCTTATTATACCACTTAGCGTGAGAAAGAGATCGTAGACATCTATGATCAAAAACAGTCAACCTTTTCATGTCTTCAACTCGTATTGGCCACGTTTCAGAGCCATAGAGAAGGACGGCGCGAACTGCTGAGCGGTATACACGTCCCTTGGTTGATAGTCGGATGTCACGCCTACGCCAGAGACGGTGTAAGTCAGCGAAAGCAACTGGAACTTTTTGGATCCGTGGTGAGATTTCGTCACCAATCAATCCATTGGTGCTGATACAAATTCCCAAATAGGTGAAGTGGTCAACATGTTTTATCACTTCACTCCCTATCACTAAGCTAGGGGTAGACGTAGTCCAGTCCTGTAGTAGCATCTTACATTGTACAGGAGCGAATCGCATGCCAAACATACGAAGATTGCTGCTCAAGGTGTTCAGAAGACTCTGCATTTTGTCAGCATCCTCCCCTAACAGGACTATGTCGTCTGCGCATTCTAAGTCTATAAGACTATTCCCTGGTAACAAGTCGATTACTAAGTCGTTAAGTTCAGTTAAGGATACTTCCATTAGCATATCTATGATGAAGTTAAACAGAAAAGGGGGAAGTGGACATCCTTGACGAACACCACTGGTTGTTATCAATTCAGATGACAATTCCCCATAAGCCCTTACACGGCTACGTGAATTTGAGTAGAGTGCCTTGATTAGTGCAATGTACTTTCTTGGCACTCCCTTCACAGTCAAACATTGCCATAGTACCTCTCTATCCACAGAGTCGAAGGCCGCCTTCAAGTCAAGAAATATGGCAATTGTTGGACGCCGAAAAGTGTGTCTATGTTCTAGGATCTGTCGGAGAGTGGAGATATGATCTATGCACCCTCTACCTGGCCTAAAGCCCGCTTGGTTTTCCCTCGTTTGTTCCTCCCGAGTTCGGCTTAGTCTGTTCATGATTACTGAGCCTAGGATTTTAGACACTATGTTCGTTAGGCTGATTCCTCTATGATTATCACATGAGGACTTGTCTCCCTTCTTGAATATTGGTATAATAAGTGACTTACTCCAATCTGATGGAACCGTCTCTGATTCCCAGACGTTACCTAGTACCTTAGTTAAACTACATACTAGCATGTCACCCCCATAGTTAAACACCTCCGGAATAATTCCATCGGGTCCTGCCGCTTTGCCTCGTTTCAAGTTACAGATAGCTTTGGTGACCTCACTTACAGACGGCGGGCCAGTGTCTATGTCCCATTCGGGTGTGTGCTGGATGGCGGGGAGGCTCAGTGTGGCTGTAGGCAAGTTAAACTGTTCCTCGAAGTGTTCTTTCCAGCGTTCAAGGCGTCTATCCTGAGAGCTAATTAAGGAGCCATTTTTCTCAGAAATAGTCTCACTTATGATTTGCCTTCTCCCACCCGTTTCCCTGATGAGTCTAAAGAGTTGCCTAGTGTTGCCTATCGCCGATGCTTTTTCCATCTCTTTCGCCTTTGTCAACCACCACTGTTCACGGTCCTTGCGGAGACTTTTCGTAAGTTTGCTTTTGTGCAGCTTTCGCTCCTCATTGAATTCGGAGCTCGCCGGAATAAGTCTTCTAGCATCTATCAGTTCGGATGAGGCAGTCGAAATCCAATGGTTTTTACTCACCTTTGGACTTACCTTATTCACAGCTTTTACAGCTGTATCTATGGCTGATTGAATATTCTTCCAGGCTTTTTCAGGGTGAGCGCGGCTGTCGAACTCAGATATCTGTTTAGCTAGTTCTTCCTCAAATAGGGACTTAGTTTCCTGATCGAGCTGGGGACGTGATGGTTTTACCGCCAGCTGTTTCCTACGTCCGTTCAGTCGTAAGCACACACGAGCGCGGACCAGTGCGTGATCGGTATCTACACACGTGTTCCAGAAGGAGCGACAATCCCCTACCGACCCACGCCAACGATAGCTTATTGCTATGTGGTCTATTTGTGTCCAGCGTTGGTTTGATGATGGAGGTCGCCAGGTCAGACAGTGTCTCTCCTTGTGTTTGAAGTTAGTCCTTACAAGAAACAAGTGATTATCTGAACAGAACTGTAGGAGACGGTCATCGTTGTCGGTTAGCTGGCACGGAATTCCGTATGTGCCACCGACATTCTTCTCAGATTGGCACAATTTCCCCACTTGGGCATTAAAATCACCAGCTAAAACGACTATATCTGAGCGTTTAGCCTTTCGCAGCAAACTAGACAGCTTTTGGTAGAACTCATCCTTCGTTTCATCCGAACTGCATCTGTCCTACTACATTAGGAAGTTAAAACAATCAGGTATCACTCAACCTGTGTCATATTGTGAAGGGTATTGTAGGTCGCCAGTAGAGTGTGTGGCGTGAGGCTAATTCAGCTCGTTACTATTGTAATGGATAGACCAGATCCATATCGTCAGACTCTCAACTCTCCCCGCCATGTATCTCACCAGGTAGGAGTAGAATTCATTATAAAAGATTATGTGCCCGCTCATACAAGTGAGTACAAAAGCTCAACGATACCCTATTTGACCGACGTACTATGTGATAGAGGTAGTGTTAAGTGTGAATGAAACCTACGACTTACTATGCTATCAGTAAAATAATTGGCTCTTTTTTGATCCTCTCCTATTTGTGATCTATGGTGACATTATTTGAATTAAATTATAATTTTAGTTATTATTATTTATACTTTTTGTACACACTTTAGACTTTATTGTTACTGTTAATGAAAATCGTTACTACTAAATAGTTACCTGGGTTCTAGTAGGAATTTGTGACCAATGGGTTACACCGGGTCGAGTGTGAAGAAAAATACTCGCCAGCGATGGAACTGACTTGTGCCAATCGCACTATATCGTGAATTGGCAGAAGTTGTAGTTCATATTCTGGCCGTTGGACCGGATCCCAGCGGTTGAATGGTCTATAAGCTCGCTCGACTTGTAACCTAAATGTCCTGGGTTCGAACCCCCGTGGTGGGTGGATACTGATGAAGTGTCGTAGACTAGGACAAAACATCTGCCCACTACTCTCTGGTAGTTTTCCAATGGTGCTCTAATCGATGTCACCTCATGATGAATTCCTGTAACTAATCGAATCCCTGCAAACCAACAGTTGACTAGCAACTTTGTTTACCTATACTATGTGATGACCTATTTTTGAGTAAATTAGATGGTATATTGTACCAGATATTGAGAATACTATGCTGTACCATGAGTAATGTTATGGAGTAAAGCAAGTCATTATTATTATTATTATCTATGGTTGGTTTGTAAGGATTATTTTTGTTTTTACGAGTGTGAATTCGGATTGATATCGGTTAGCGAACCATCAAAAACCAGGGAGTACTGGACAGCTGCTGTTTCATCCCAGTCTAGGATCCATCGACATTACACACCCACCGACAGAGTTCGAAACCAGGACCTTCAGGTTACAAGGCAAGCCAGCTCGTATCCCATTCAGCCAATGGGAGCCGATCCAATGGTCAGCCAATGAATTCTAAATTCTACTAATTCGTGGTTTTAGGGCAACCACCAACCAATGTCATCGGCGGGAAATACATCCTCACTCCCAACTTCATGGACCTCACTGGTTACGATTTCTCACTTGAAGTCCAGGAAACTCCGTCCTGTAGCAAGTCAATAGCGAGCATCAGATTAATTCTCTATATTTGATTTCTAAGGATTAGTTTTGTTGTTACGAGAGAGAAAAACATTGAAAACTGATATCAATCCGCGATCAAACTCGTAAAAACAAAGCTAACCCTTACAAACCAACTATAGAAAATTAGTCTGATGCCCGCTAGTGACTTGCTACAGGATGGAGTTTCCTGGAGTTCTAGTGAGAAGTCGTGACCAGTGAGATCCATCCATTCAAGTGTGAGGATGGATGTCTCACCGATGACATTGGTTTTTGCCAGTTGCGCTAAAATCACGAATTGGTGGAAGTTAGGATTCATGGGCTGGCGGGCATTGAATCGGGTCCCAGTGGCTAAATGGTATACGTGCCAGCTTGTCTTGTAACTGGAAAGTCGTCGTTTTGAATCCTGGCGGTGGGTGCGTACTGCCAACGATTATTATTTTTTTTATTTTTTATTTTATTATAGCTTGATTCCACACAGTATTTTGGTACAAGTATGAAATTTTCAGCATGTGATATCGGTAGCCCAAATTTAGCAGGCCGACCATAGATATCAGGTGTGCGTCGGCGGGGGATCGATCCTCGGACCATGTGTAATGTCGGCGAGAGTCCTAACCGCTGTGCCACCGATGCACAAGACGAAATCCACTTCTAAATGATTACTTAATAATAATGGCTACTTCTGTGTTAATTTTCTACCTCTCTAAAACTCTGCTCACCAGAAACGTGATCTCGACAAATAATGGGATAATAAGATTTACGGGCGAAAACTAACAAATAAACAGCAGAAACAGAAAAAAAAACGGAACTTGAAGTGAACATAGAGAAGATAGAGGCGATGACTATACCTAACGAAAAAGCATTATTGGTATAAGTTATTGATTATCCCCATATACAAGAAGAGAGATATGCCTTCCTGTGATAATCATAGAGGGGGGGGGGCGTTAGCTTGACTAATATGGTATCTAAAGTCCTAGGCTCAATAATCATGCGTAGAATAAGTGGTGCTCGGGAGTCACAAACACGAGAGAACCAGGCAGGCATTAGACCAGGAAGAGGGTGTATCGACCATAATATCTTCACCCTTCGACAGATTCTGGAACATAGGCATACTTACCGTTGGCGTCCAACAATTATTATTATTACTATTATCATTATCATTATTATCATTGTTATTATTATTATCATTATCATTATTACATATAGACTTCTTAACCAGTCTTCAACTGATGCATACTGTTTTTTTTCTTTTTTGAATTTTCTTTTAGCATCATTGTCGACATTGTGGTAAAGTTGTTTGTGATAAATGTTCAGCTTATCGTTGGATATTACCATATCAGAGTTCATCACGTGTACGTGTTTGTTCAATATGTCATAGGAATTTGTTAATTGAAAAAAACAGCGCATCTAGTCACCTCAACGACGACTGTCAGCATCATCATCATCAAGGAGATGAAGAAGACGAAGGAGAAGAAGAAGAACGAGTTCAATACTCACAATATCATTATAATCATCAACGATTTGAAAAGTTGTCAGATGAAAAGTATTCACCTATTACTACTAATACTACTATTACTACCATTAATACGACTACTACTACTACTACAGCTGCAGTTAATACTAAAATTATCAGTTCAGTGAATGAAACACCTAAAAACGGGATTGTTTTAACACCAAGTAAGTGATTATGTGTTTATAAAGTCTTATTGTACTTGTTTATTTGATATTTGATAGCTATTCATAGACTTAAGCCCTCCCCACCTCCGCCCCGTGTGTGTGTGTGTTTGTGTGTAAAGACAGTTTGTTATTACGTCTGTTTTCTCTATGTTCACCTGAAGTCCTATCTTCTCTGGATGCTTCTTCTATCGCCAACTTGTTGCTTTTCACTTGCATATCTTCCAGTTTGTGGGAAATTAGACATATATCATCGGTGAAATCAAGATCCCCCAAGGTATTGTGTGGATTCATTTTATGCCTGTTTCCTCGCTGCCCGGCCCGCTGTCTGTCACATTATCCAGTCTACCGCAATCAGGAAAATCATTAGCGATAGTAGACAGCCAGCCAGCCAGCTTATCTTACTCCCGTCTTCAGTTCGAAGGATTCCGTGAGTTTCCCGTTGTGGTTTACTTGGCATGCAGCATTATCGCACAGCTGTTGGATGAGATGTATACTTGTTGGTGGCATCCCGTAGTAGTGAAGTAGTTTCCAAATCACCTCTCGATCGACGCTGCCTGCTGAAGGTATTTTCAAAGTCGATGAAGTTAAGGTAGAGATCTAACTGCTATTTGAAGCTCTGTTCAGTGATGATCCACAGTGTTGCGATTTGATCAATGCATGATTTCTTTCTCTTGAATCCAGCCTGTTCTGGTCAAAGTTTTTCATCCAGAACATGGATAAATTTTCAATGAATAAGATAAATTTGGATAGTGTTGTTCTTAGAAGACGGAGATTATCTGAGTAACGATGTGAGGTATTTGCGCAATATATTTCGAACAGTCTGATGATTACACATTTACTTGTCAGGTCAGTTCACTGTTTCTCATCATTACAATATAAGGGAGGCTTGGTAAAGTGCCTCTTTAAAAGGATTCACCTGATTTGTACAGCTCATGTTATAAATGATGAAAACACCTTAATACCGATGGATACTCTTGTTGAAAACGAATATCCTTTAAAAGTTTTTAACCGGTGTAGAAATCAATTACTTCGAAAATCTACAACCCAAGGTTGTAATCCCGAAAGAAAGATGTGTTCTTTAAATTACAGTACAATGGAGGAGTAAACTGTAGGATTTTAAGATAGAAACTAAATTTGGTCATCCGTAGAACCTGTTATGCAGCCCAGTTTATAATTATTGAAAATGCCAAAAATGTGCTCCAATGCAAACCTCAAAAGTGCATATGTGATTATATCATATCCCATACTATAAACCAATTTACTTGGGTGTATGGACACACATACACAGTAAGCCGTAATCGCACCTGGTATATGGGGCTCGGAGAGTATGTGCCGAATTGGTTAGAAATACAAATGAACTGTGAAATCTTGAAAATCAACTCAGGTGGCAGAATACCAACTTCGTCTATAACTATACGTCTAATCGATATGAACCATAAGATTGATGTTAAAACAGCTTTTAAGGGTTTTGTTTTTAAAAACGGTCAAGAGTTCTTATTGAAATACACTGAGGCGGTAGCTATTCGTAGACTTAAGCCCTATCTTAGCCTACTCTGGTAATACTTATCTGGTTGAAGGATTCCATTATGAGTTGATATCGGTTAGGTAACCATTGGAAAACCACCATGAAGTACTGGACAGCCAGCTGTTTCGTCAGCCTAGTTTGGGAATCTTCAGCACTACTCACCCGCCGGGGTTCGAACCCAGGACCTTCTGGTGACAAGGCCAGCGAACTCGTAGACCATTAAGCCACTTGGATCCGCCCTATCCAATGGCCAGTCCGTGAATTCGAACTTTGACAATTCACGACATAGAGCGACCACTTAGCAATGTTTTCGATGTGTGACTGTCCTGGCTGACGAAACAGCTGTCCAGTACTCTATGGTATTATTTTATTTTATTTATTTAAACACAGAAAAAGGTTGGTACTATATGGCACCAAGACGATGCGCCACACAATAATAATAAAACAACATAGATTAAAAGTTAAAAAATATGTGTAGAGGGAGAACGGATAAAGAACTTCATCTGGAAGGAAAATAATCATACGTGACAAGTTCAGACAGCATTCGTCAACTATCATCGGGAAGAGAAGAAAGGGGAAATTGCAGCACTTCCGCAATTGATTACGATTCTTCGCCATATCCGACAACATTTCGACCCAACGATTCGAGCTATCTCTCGAACTTCAACCAGGGAGTTGTGACGCACCAACCGATGCTAACAAAGCACAAATATCCTTCATCCCACTACGCCATGTCGTGGGCTGACCACCTCTCCGCCTTTTCCATCCCGTCACAGGGCTGGAAAACAGTGAGCTGTACAGAAGCCTCTGGGATGACATTCGCTGCACGTGTCCTAGCGACCGAAGCCGGTGTTTCCAGATGACGACACTCAACGAGTGGTGATCTCCACTGTGTTCAAACAAACGGTGCCGAACCTCAGAATTACTCACGCGATGATGACATCGAACGCAAGCAATCCTGCGGAGACAGCGATGATTGAACACGCAGAGCCGCCGCACATCCTCAGCTCGGAGAGGATAGGTTTCACTGGCGTAGAGCAAGACAGCCCGCACCGAAGCATTGTATACCCAACCTTTGACAGACAGACTAACGTCGCGATGGCGCCAGAAGTGGCTCTATGGTGTCAGCTCATAAAGACATCCTTCAACCGATCAAACAATATCCCTACAAACTAATACTTGAGAATAAATCCTGATTAATCTGACTAGATGTATATATAACCAAACGTAATGTTAATTATTTCTTAAATCCATTTTTTTCTACTTTGTTTATTTTAATTGGCTTTAATTATTTGTCATATAAAATGACTTGACTGACAAGTAAAAGTGTAAGGGACTAGACTGTTCGAAATGTGTATTACGCAATTGCATATAATGCACAAATAACATCCGTTCTATCTATTACAGTATAACCTAATTAAGAATACTTTATATTTATATAGTACACTAGCAATAAACAAGTAAGGTGTGAAAACATACATTATACATACTTCTATTTATAAAACAAAACAATATAGACATACCACAACATTTAGTTATTGAAGGTAAAATAGGCAGACATGATCAATACTCTTAAAATGTACAATAAACACTTAAAGTACAAAAATAGAACACAATATAAGAGCTGTTTGATAGCATATACGACATTCAGTAAGACGACAGGCATAATTACATGATGCTATACATACTAGTGTAAAGGTCGAAGCCAACAGACTTGGACATGGAATGTTTATTTGGAATTCGATATCTCCATATAGGGAGTTTATGTACACCCTTTGTGAAAGTCGTTATTTGCACAAATCTGCCGTATTATTGTGCTACTTCTGCTCTACCTTCGTATTATGTGTTTCATTGTCTTCTTTTCGTGTCCGCCATGTTTTACTGCAACACTGCTGGTTCACATTTGCTGTCTCTCTGTCTCTTTGACATCAAATCTATCTCTCTGCTACTTGGTATTCTTGTGGTGGCGAATTTCTCGACATATATACTACTGATAAATCTTGTTAGTAGAAGACACCACACCACCCTCCGATCGATAGCTACTCCTTCGACCCGGTGAGTAGACTTGGATATCTCAATGTTGTGACAAACTACGCTGGCTGGAAGTAATTCTGCTGCAGGTCATACCACGCCAGAAGAGTCGTTTGGGTAGCGTTTAGACTAAAAGTAGTTACCGTCATAGTGTTACGAGTTTATATTATGTTATGGATCGGTGGGCTGACTGACTGGTTTCAATATAGAACTTTGCACTGATGTGCACCAGTTTGAGTTGCCACTCTCTCTCTCTCTCCATGTAGCACACAAAGCAAGAGAAGACATTAAAGAGAAATTCAGCAGAGGAGAGACAATAAACAGAAGTGTGAGTGAAACAAAAAGAATAGTAGTAATATCGAAGGGCAATGGAGTTTTACTGGATATGACAAATCACAAAGAGTGAATGAATGCATCTGCACCAGTCATTGAGAACGAGGATTTTGAGGCATATCACCGATTATCTCCGGTCCCCATCGGTTCTTATCATCTCATGGACCCCTACTAGAAGTCAGGTAGTCTACATCTCCCTACGTGGCTGGCTTGCTCTTTTCCAATCTGATCCATCCTGTGTCAGTTAACATTGCCTGTTGTTGGGGGAGGCGATTGCTAGGCAGGCATGCGTAACACATTTCCTAACCATCTTAGTCGATGTAACTCCACAGCCTCGTCTATTGATTTCCCCTCCAACTCCACCTAGCACTCGACACCTAAATATACTAAATGACTCTATTATACACAGTGTACATATTTGTAATTGTTGGTTAATATAACTGATTTTCATTTTAAATATTTATGAATATAAATATGTTTACTTTTTGTAACATTCAGTCACTCACATGATGTTATGTAATTATTATTGTTATTATTACTCTTGTTATTATTATTAAAGTCCTGTTTGTCTAAATCTACACTTTTTAAAAAAAAATTTAGCCTTTCTTGGTAATGTCAACATGTCAAATGATGAATTGAACACTGAAAGTGATACAGAATCGGATACAAATGATTGTAAGTGTTACTTATGTTACTTATTTATACCTCTGTTGTGTTTTCAAATGTTCCTATATACAGACTGTCTCATGATTTATCTGATGTTTATCTTAGGGTATTCTGGCGAATTGAGCTAAAATTTATGTAGTTAGTTAGTTAGTATTTTTAAAGTATTTATGCGTTGAAGTTTCTGTAGCAATTTGGCTAAGTTTTGGGGGTGGAGTTGCACCACGCCCCAACCCTCCAGGCTTGGGACCGGCTAGAAAACTAGCGAGCTAATAATCTTCCTCCACCGACATGAAGAACCTAGAAGACCTGGATTTCGCGCGTGGATGATTTATGTTTGATGATGTCACACAAAATCAAAGACTTACTAGCGAAAACCAACAAACTGGTCGAAGAAGCAGCAAAGACAGGACTCCAGGTGAACATAGACAAGACGGAGGTTATGAAAATAACCAACCAACAACAACAACAACAGCAACATCCAGTGCCAATCACCATCAATGGGAGGGATGGAAAAGAGGTTACTTCATTCACTTATCTAGGAAGCATTTTCTCAACTACAGGAGGAACGGACGAGGATGTCAAATCGAGAATCGGGAAGGCGAGAAACACATTCATCAACCTGAAACCAATCTGGAAATCTTCGTCACTCAGCATCAACAACAAAATTCGGATTTTCAATACAAACGTCAAGTCAGTCAGTTCTTCTATACGGATCAGAAACTTGGCGGGTCACAGAGAATATTTCCAACAGCCTGTTGCAGACCTATATCAACAACAACTGTCTTCGCTCTATACTGAAGATCAGATGGCCGGAAAGAATCACCAACAAGAAACTATGGGAACAAACAAAACAAGAACCAATCGCCCAACAAATATACAGGAAAAAGTGGAGATGGATTGGACACTAGCTGAGGAGGCCACTGGGTGACATCGTGCACCAGGCCAACGCTCGAGTGGAACCTGAAAGGGAAGCGGCGAGTGGTTCGTCGGTGCAAGGTTGACATGGAGGAGATCGTGTGAAGAGGAGTTGAAACAGAATGGACTAAAATGGATGCAGGTGAAAAGTACAGCAGAAGACAGAAGCAAGTGGAGACGTGCAGTTGAAGCCCTATGTTCCACTAGGAATCCAAGGGAACAATTATAATAATAGTAATAGCTAGTTAGTTAATCAGTTACTCGGAAAAGAATTTTAGGCAACGTTAAACTTTAAGAATCACCAACTAACTACCAATCAGCGAATGACCTCGAACAACGCACCAATCACGTGAAAGAGGCATTTTTGTGTATGGAATACGTATATTTATGAAAAAAATGCATAAAAACTGTAGAAAATTGTTACAGAGGATACTTTTCTCTCACATTTGATTAAAATAGCTCTCAGTTTTAGGTTGGAGTATCAACAGAGTATAATTCCATTGTGGGTAAAATTTATTTTGACAAATTCTCATAGTATTATTCAGTAATATTTACTGGGCAAAAAACTGTGCTCGAAACGTCATCAGTAAATATTACTGTATAACAACAGTGTGAGACTTTATCAGAATAAATTTTTACCCACAATGGAATTATACTCTACCACAGAGTCGTTGGTGTTAAATAACTATCCTATAAAATTCTATAGGAAGATCGAAAAAGGCCAAAAGCAAAATAAAAATAATTATGAAACTAGTAATGATAACATAAATAAGAGAGAATATAAGTCATCTACTGCTATACCATATAAGGAGGGGACATTTGAGACCCTAAGTAAGATTCCTAATAAAGCAGGAACACCTCCCTGAGTTTCCTGTTGTGGATCATTTGACACGTGACGTCATATAGCGGGTTGTTTAATGAGGTTGCCGAAATGTTGAAGCAATTTCCAATGCTCATGTCTTCGTCAACCTCATTAAACAACCCGCTATATGACAACGTCACTTGTCAAATGATCCACAACAGGAAACTCAGGGAGTTGTTCGAAGTGAGTACAAGTGTAAGACAAGCTAGCTGTCTGCCTATTATCACCAAGGATGATATTCTTAATTGTGTTGGACTGCATTATGCGTCAGACTGTGCACAGGGAGTGAGGAGACAGGAACACGTTGGATCACCGATGAGAAGACTGGCGTTCGCAGATGATTTATGTTTGATGTCACAGACTTGCAAGCGAAAGCCAACAAACTGGCTTTAGAGACAGGCAGTGAGGACAGGAGTCCATGTGGACACAGAGGAGGCGAATGTGATGAAGATAACCAACGAACGGCAACAAAAGCAACAACAACCAGCACCAATCACTATCAACAGGGAGATTTGACAGAGGTTGCTTCCTTCAATTACCTAGGAAGAATCGTTTCAACGACAGTAAGCGGAACGGATGATGTCAAAGCTGGCCAGAATCGGAAAGACAAGATATCCATTCATCAATTTGAAACCTGTTTGGAAATATTCTGCTTCACTCAGTACAGTCCAACTGTTCGTACATATTATATTATTATTATTATTCATTGAAGGCGCAGAAGTCGGCAAAGAGTTCTCCATTCCCATTCATTTCTCTGAGAGCTTCTCTACCCATGATGAGTTCCCTTCTTGTGTTGTCTGGTCCCAGTTTGGCATTCATGTCTCCCATTAGTATTTTAATGTCACCAGCTGGAGTATTGTCCATTGTTGCCTGCACTTGTCTGTAGAATACTTCTTTCTTTTCGAGGTGTGCGTTGTTTGTGGGTACATAGCATTGTATAACTAACACTTTCCTTCCTTTGGAATTGAATCTGGCGGTCATTATCCTGGGCGAGATCGCCTCCCATTGCATCAGGGCCTTCGTTGCCGTTAGTGACATCATGATAGCCACGCCCTCGGTGTGCGTGTGGTTGTCTTCTGGGTGACCGGAATAGATCACTGACTTTCCCGTTAACAATTTGGTGAGTCCATTCCCGTTCCATCTGCTTTCACATATTCCCAGTACTTGAATCCCGTATCTTTTCATTTCGTTTGCGATCTGACCAGCTTTGCCAATCTCGTACATGGTGCGGACATTCCATGTCCCCACACAAACTTTTTCTTTTGGCGCAAGGAGATTCATCGTGCTGAAGTTTCTGTAGCAGCTTTGTTTACAGGGTGGGGTTGCTAGCCTCACGCCTGAGAAGGGGAATGTTACATGAAAATATAGTTTAGAGAGAAGCGACCTTGTGAGTTGATCCCCTTGAAACCAGGAAAACAAGGAATAAAACAATCAGAACAACACCAGCACAGGAAAATAATTCACAACAACAAGAAGGGTAATAAGTGACAACAACAATAGTAATATCACAGGCAAGTACAGTTAACCAAAATGATACCTTAATCATAGACTCACTGACTTGAGCCAACTTGAACGTGTAAATCCATTAATATATACAATTATAGATACTAGTTAGTGTTAAACAAGCACAGAGTGGCAAACAGATAGTATTATATCCAAAGATTCAGTGTTTGAAAGGCAAATTAATTGCAACTTTTTTGGGGAGATATTTCACAAAAATAAGAGTTTTATGTAACTATGTTAATGTAGCGTAGTAATCCATTTGTACTTATGTTATGCATATTTCCTTTTCTTAGGAGGGAATAATGTTGGCCTCTTCAGACGCACACACACATACACACACAGATGCTTCGTTAATCAACACAATCAAACAGACCTGGAATTATGCAATCACGTCCTGTCCTTCATAATTTTATTCATCTAAAGTAATTTATGATGCAATCAGTCACTGTCTTCCTTTTGCAGAAACTGAAGCGCACACACACACACAAAATTGATACTTCGCGCCTTTATTATTATAGATGATCTCATCACCAGCTTCATATATTTGAATATTACTCTAATATATCTGGGACATATGCACACTTCTGACTACCTGAATATATTTAAATGTCCCAGCCTTTTTTTTCTTCATGATTATAATACGCAACCAGATTTTTAATTTTATATATATTTTTAATTTTACTTTTGTTTAAATTATCTAATATCAATTTTTTAATGGTGAATGTGTCGTCATTTCGAATGAAAGTAAACTAATACTGATCAGATCAGATATTGTGCTTTTGAATAAAAATCTTGTTATTATTATTATCATCATCATCAAGATTACTTTTTGTTGATGTTTGTAGAAGTATCGATGAGGAGAATTTGTAGCTCAGATAGGTATGGTTGTCTTCCTCTTAGCTGAATATAATTGATTGCATTGTGAAGCTCTCTCACACACATCGATTTAGCCTAAACTGCAGCCACCAGTCTGCGAAATCAATAAAGACCAAAAACAACAAAATTTACTGGACAAATCTGATTGGCTGTCACTGACCTCAGAAAGTTAAGTCATAAATAAACGAATCAAAAAAATAATTTAATAATTCCCATTGTGGCATTAAGAACACAATATTCAGCGAAGAGACTCTTTTCAGTGACGAATTTATTATCAAGCTGTACAATCGTATATATATGGGATTTTTAAAGAAATTATATCCGGTGAGCGAATTAGGTCAAAGGTGTGAATACATGAGCCTCCAAAGCCTCAGGATGGTCGGGGGTGGGTGCCTTGCACTGCGGGTTGGCCACCCCTCCGCACACCTCTTGAAATGCTCCCATATGACCGGGCGTCTTACATAGCCTCTCCTGAGGAAGTCCTACTCACTGCCTTCACGTGGCGGAGGTGTTTTTCACCAAAGTGAGAGGGCGAAAGCGGATGCCCGGCGCTCTTCACCGGGTTGACTGTCCATTTGATGACAGTCTAGGGGAGATGGCTAAACCCTGATTCCAAACCTCCAACGACTGGCGTATGAAGCTCACTGGAGCTCACCGGCAGACGTATGGACAAAGGGCTTGTTGGATGTCCTGGATGTCTGGCCCCACTCAAAAAGGCGTATGAACCGAACTCCGGTCACCGGCTGCCAATGGATAGTGGACTCCCTACTCCACTCCTACTGCCTTGTAGGTCACACTTGGTTGTGTAAAGGCTAGAGCTGCAATCTCAAACAAAAGGCCGAGCGATTCTGGGGACATCACTCGTACCAAATTCCCATGAAACTTCATGAACTCTCTTGTTCATGAAGCCGGCTCATCCTCCCGTAGGAGATAGCCGTAGTAAATGAAGAAGAAAGAAGTGAATACATGAATTAATAATAATAGTATGAAATGCAATTAAAATATGTGATTATAATCATATTGCATGGAGAATTTCATCATGAGCTGACATCAGTTAGAGAACTACTGGAAAACCTGGGAGTACTGGACGGCTGTTTCGTCCTAGTTCGGGACTCTTCAGCAGTGCGCACCCACCGGGATTCGAACCCAGGACCTTCTGGTTATAGGGCGAGCTCGTAAACCATTGAGTCATTGGGACGCGATCCAATGGTCCTTGAATTCTAACTTCTGCCAATTCACGACATTACGCGACCATTTCGTAATGTCTTCTTCGATGAGTTACTGCCTCATCTTCAACCTGCAACCATGCAATCAAACAAAATCATAACAAAACCAATACTTGAAAATTATAATCGTAGTTAAACGTCAAGTAGCAAAATAATTAATGTCATATATAGGATGATACATAAGGTGTATAGATTTCGGAAAGGGGTGCATAATTATAGAATTAGTAGGCGAATGTAAAATGTTACGTAACATGGTGTGAAATTTGATAAGATAGAATTCAATATTGTAAAAATATAAAAATGAATAATTTTGGGTTTAGAATGACAAGCGGGTCAAGTGGAAAAGATTCAAAGTGAGAATAATAATAATAATAGTAACCGTAGTAATAAGCGAAAAGTACATAGAATAACTAAATAAACAAAATAAATAAATAAATGTCTATCCGTCTACGGCCAAGGCAGAAGTAGGGATTGTACATACTTCTTTCGTACACAAAGATCTGGCTTAAAGTCATGAATTGCCAAGGCCTCAGCTGTCTTTAGAAGTCCCCTGTAACGAAGAAAACGCGGTCGGAAAGTTAGCATGGATTCTGTATATGATCTTGAAATCATGGTCAGAGTTGACAGAGTGACAGAATATCGATCAGGTGCTCCAGAATCAAAAACGGACCAATCAGGTTATCATGTCGAAACATGTATCAGTCATGATTTGAAAGGTAACAAAGAAGCTTGACTGTCTGAACACTGATGAATACCATCTTTAGAAAAATGAAACTGGAGTCGAAGAGAAAGAGTTTCTGTTTTTGTAGCTGGTTTAGTTAAGTTCTTGAAAAGTTTTAGGACATACTCACTTATTTAGGTTTTTCCTGTGGATTCTACTCACATATCTGTTCTACGACTAAAGATTTTAAGAATCTTTGGTATTTCTGGTCGCTGAAATGGGATGCAGATGATCCACTCTTCTGTTAATGGTTATTTCAATCTAAAGTTCTGCGCCGTATAATCAATCAGGTGTTTGGGAGAAAGTCATCTGTATTGGTGGCCTGCTTAGAACTTGGGCTATCGAAAACCTTCATCAATATATTGGATAAAATGTGTCTTATTCAGTTTGTTTAAATCTAATAAGATATGACCTGTAGTAGTATTATCAAAAGAATGGTTACTGAACAAACAATACTCCTTTCGATAACTTCATCATCAGGCTCTATAGTTATATATACATAATAGTAAATGAATTAGTATTATGAACAACATTAATATTGTTTAAATAGCAGGATAGTGAGTCACTTAGTCACTTTGTACACAGAGATTGGGTTGAAATCTTTTTTAGTGGCAATGGCTTCTGCAAACCGAGGTCGTCAGAGTTTTGGTTTTGTATACGGATTATTCTGAAAGCTTGACTAATTTCCACTATATGTCCCGTGTCACTTAGGTGTAGTCTGGCAATTGCACTACAGAACACTTTGCTGCCTTGCATACAGAAACTTTTAAGAATATGCTCAGAAAATTTAGTAGACTATTTCCTCTCAGTCCTCTTCCTATGTATCTCCTGCCTGCATGTACAAGTGAAGTGGGTAGAAACTGTTGCAGTTGACATGAGCAAGATAATTATCTACTTTTGACTGACTTAAATGAGCAGTAATACACTGCAACAAGTTTTTGATAAATATAAATACGACTGTACAACCTCCGAAGGTGATTTTGTTGATAAAGAAAAAAATTTTCTTTGCTGAATTGTCTTTTAGTTTCTTCATATCTCATAAAATTGACATTAATTGACAAGAAGTTCTGTACCTAGGTTTCATGTGTATTGGGATTGATGCTTCCCCTGAGATTCAAACATTCATTACTCATTGATGTAGTTAGACATTACCATTCAGAGCTATTTGGACCCTCAGTTGATCACCAAGGATACGTTTCCTTCGAGGCTATAGATACACCTGAGTAACCAGTATCAATAAGCTCGCCGCCTAGATGCACGGCTTCCTACCGACTGCTTCTAACCATCTAACATTATTTCAAAAAGTACATTGCAGTGAGATGCTCCCTGAATTGGTAACTACGTTACAAACTCATTAGCAGAATTCAGTCTGTACCACTAAAGACCTGACATATGAGACTGATTACTCTGCAGTGGGGAGTCAATATTCATTACAGTCTACAGTTGAAGAAAGGCCTTGAAATAAAATGTACATATTATACTGCTAACACTTACTAAATTTTTAGCTTGATCACGTAATATCAGTGAGAGAGCCGTTGAGGGTCATAGTGTACTGGTTAGCTGCTTTGTCGTAGTTTTGGACTCATCGGTAGCGAGCATCCGTTGGAGTTCGAACACAGGACCTTTCCGCTACAAGGTAATCTCGTAGGCCATTCAGCCACCGGAACCCGACTCAGTGGTCCATGATTTCTAACTCCAACCAATTCATAATCCAGCCAACGTCATTGGAAGCGAGTATCTGTCCTCACTCCTGACCGGGTTGATCCCGCTAGTCACAACTCCTCACTGGAACTCACGGAAACTTCGTCCTACTGCCAGTAACCAGCGAGAACAAAATTAGTATATTTTTATGCAACTATATAAAACGTGGGTAATGCTTTGGTGTTTGAAACCGACAGATATAGAATTCAATGTTGCAAAAATATTCATTCAGATATCTACGAAACACAAAATAATCGAGCAAAGAATATTCTTTTCGATAAACTCCTCTTCCAGGCTCTACAATTATATATATGTTTTTATACACAGAATATTTTAAATTAGCAGTTAATAACAATATTAGCGTTTTTTTAAATAATATCGATTTGTAAAGTATGCTCAATGCTATTGCAGTTAATTAAAGATGCTTAAATGATAATAATAATAATAAAGATATAACAGCGAATAGAATATCAACTAAAATTAGGGAAATTTCACAAAAATTCTGGATTATTCAAACCTGGATGGCCATGGTAATGATAATGACTGAACTAACTTCTTTTGGATGCAGAAATTAGGCTTATTAATATGAATCCCCTAATTTTAAATGATATTCTATTCGCTGTTATATCTTTATTATTATTATTTAAGCTTCATTAATGAACTGCAATAGCATTGAGCATACTTTACAAATCGATATTATTTAAAAAAACGCTAATATTGTTATTAACTACTAATTTAAAATATTCTGTGTATATAAACATATATATAATTGTAGAGCCTGGAAGAGGAATTTATCGAAAAGAATATTCTTTGCTCGATTATTTTGTGTTTTATAGATATAGAATTCTAGTCTCAGTGAGGATACCATCACTTGCTGGGGACTGCACGTACATTCCGATGGCCAATACCAAATAGGGCGAAATACGCATACTGGTGTAATCGACTGATAATCACCAGCAACCAGAATAAAATATAACAAGCATCTTCCCATTACGGTCATGACGATTATTCTTGAGTAAAGAAAGATTACTTTTTTCTCCCTGGAAACTCAAATATTATTATTGTAAGATTTGTCTTCACATGTGTATAAAATTTAATTACTGAATAAAGGTATGAGCAGTCACCTTAGTGAAGTAGCCGCCTAATTTGAACCTTTGTATTTCGAGCTGTTATTTTTGTTAAGAACTCAGTAATATGAATCGGATTTTTCATGTAACCCACTGGGCCACACTTATGGTCTAATGGGTTAATGATACTGCGGTGAGAGCTGTCTGCTAGCCACAATTGTA